AACAGTGGCAAAATGCCTTTAGTCGGGCGAGGAAAAATAGTTTTTGTGGAAAAATATGCTAGTCAGATACGGATAAAATACGTGAAAATAGTTTTTCATCATTAATATCAATCAAAATGTGGGGAGAAAGTCGCTGGTGGTGTGAGTGATGATAAAAAAGGAGCTTTCATTTTACATGCTCCACACCTTCAACAGCATTCGGCATGAATTTCATTAAATTACTTATTTAACTTCAATTCCATTCTCTCTCACTCATTCTGGGAAGGAAGTGTGCAAGAAGAGGGAGATAAAAATCTCACTCTCATTCCATGAGATATACAAATTACTGTGGAGGGATTATTTGGAATTAAAAAGAAATTCATTCAGCATTATCCTAAGGTGGAATCTCACACATTATATACATACAAATTCATGCGAGGAAAAGGGGTGAGGAGAGAGAGAGTGTGTGTTTGTGGTGCCATTTCACTTCTTTTGCCCACACGTGGATTCTTTCTATTTTTTCCCCATTTTACATGCAAGAGGAAAAGCGCTTGGAAAAGCATTCGAACCAATCGATTTTCCATGAGGGGTGGCATAAATAGAAAAAGGGAGAGAAAAAATGTTTCTGAGTGGGGCAACACTGTGAGGGCGTGAAAAATTCCATATAATCCACCCTCGAATCAGGTAGTTGGAGGTCAGAGTGGATGAAGAAAGTAAAGCGTCGGTGGGAACAAATGATTCCTGATAGAGATTTTCACAATTTCTCCGTGATGAATTCCACGATACATTCCACGGAGCCGGGAATGGGGTGAAAGTGTCATTTCTTAAGTGAAAAGCTCTGGTGGAAATGTGAGAAAAATGCTTCCCTCCCTCCCTCACTCATCATATGCGGTGGAGAGTTGCTATAATAAAATTACTCTTTTTATATCTTTTCACACAAGCTCACATCAAGTGGTCTTCGCTTAATCAATACCCGGCGGTCGTTACAATCCCATTTTCACCATTATTATTCCGTTCGTGTTTTTCGCTCAGCCGCCACACTCTTCATCCCCCGAATGAGATCCTGCAGCCCATGCCACAATCCACACACCCACAGTCATCCCTTTCACCTCCCATGGGCGTCCTTGGTGTGGTGCCTTTCCGCAACCCCCAAAGACACACGAGGAGTCGTGCGGTGTGTACTCATAGTCCGCAGATTTTGCTATGTATGCATGGCGGTGAAGATGGAGAAGTCAAGAGGAGAAGTCCTTTAATCGTGATTTAAGGATGTTTTCAATGTGGATAGTTTTCAAAAAATAACTTTTCTATGATGTGCGGAAATGTTGGACACATCTTGGATAGGATCTCAATCTTTACCAGACTCCCAAACCACACCACATGCCACCCTCTCATTTTCCCGCTCTAGAAACTTTATCTATGACGCGGCACGAAAGTGGGTAAAATCGAGTAGAGGAGAGAAGATTTCAATGCAAACTTTTCAACTCTTCTTACACATCCTTACTTTCCTCCTCGAGCACTTCTTCTCTTGGACTTCTTTTTCTCTTTTTTCCCTCCCTTTGGCTTCGGCTCTTTATTCTTACAGCATGTGAAAATGGGTTTAATACATAAGATCTGTGAGTTGAATGTAATCAGCATCTATTTGATTTCTATCTATCGCAGTCACTTCAACGGATTTCTTCTCACTTGTCAATGGTTTCAGTATTGCCGAAAACATTGGAAATTTCTTGGTTAACCTTATAACATTATAAGTGTTAAAATGTCACGGCGATTAGTACAGTTGCAGTCTTTTTCGCTAACTCTGGTTGTGTAGAAGATCGTTCAAAGAGTCTCTGTCTTAGCTTCAAAATTATTGACGGTCCAAAAATCAGTGGAATATTGCACAAAAGTACAAATCTCTCTTCCCTAAACTCCCATGAATAAGATAACTATTTTATATGGATAGTCAGTGTATCGCATCTCTTTTGCAAACACACTTTCTCAGCTGGCTTGTTTTCTAGGGAGGCTAAAAGTTTTCCACAAGAAGGCGGTATTTGGAATGAAATACTTGACATAGCTTAATTGCCACTTTTTTCTCTCTTTCTTCTGTTTTTCCTGCTGCCGTAAGCACCATCTTCAAATTCACCTTTCACCTTGTCCTCACTGTGACTCTTTCGCATAGCTCAGCAAAATCTTCTTTACACTTTTCACCATCAGCTCACTATATACATGGCGCTCTGGGTTTTACCCTTTTCCGCGCATTTCTGCCCACCTCAAACCCTTAACACACGCACACTTCCACAGACTCACACACACCTTTCTCAGCTAGAGGGAATATTTTTCACACTGGGCGAGCGGAGGAGAATGTGCGAATGCGAAAGAGATAACCATGAAGAGTATGTACGTGGAAATTTGTGAGTTATATGGATTTTATGTGATGCTACGTTTACAAATCTTTTGAAATACTTCCTTTTATGCTCCTCTGCATACATAAAATCCTTCCTTTATTTGTTGTTTCCTACTTCCTGCTTTCCTTCACGCCTCCTCGTCGCACCACCGCCGCCAGCATCCCTCGAAAACCCCTTTTCCACCTTCCCGACCCCGGCTAAAATGTCTTCTTATTCCTTTTTGTTTATAAGTACTCTTGCGTATTTAAGTTTTATTCATGTGTCTCTCCAAACTTTTTCCTTCCACCATCATCGCGCCATCATTAAGATTACCACCCACGATGGCGATACAATTTTTCTTCTCTCACTTTTATTGCACTTTTTCTCAGCCCTCTCATGTGTGGATTGTTATTTTTCCCACTGACTGTGTGTGTGTGTGGGTGTGTGTCTCCATTTGGGAACAACACAATAAATTCCCGAGTGATTTTATGGTAGGAAAAACAGAGTCATTAAAAAGGCGACTTTGTCATCATTGTCTCCACTCCACTTTTCTTCTCCTTTTTCCCAACACTGCGTGAGCAAAATTCTATCTATCTTTGGAGAAAAATCTTTAGCGACAACACACCAAACATACAAGTCATTAGTGACTTTTCCTTTCTCAGCACATAAATCACTATTATAGTATTTCAATGCATACATATACTCTCTGCATCGTATAAATTGAGTAAAATTTCATTTAAACATCAACAAATCTATCATTTCTCAGTCATGCATTTTCCAAAAGTTTTCTTCAAACTCCTATCAGAGCGTATAGCAATTCACAAACACTTCAAAAGCTTTAGCATAATACTGACAAGATAATATTTTGCATAAAATTTCCACAACCATCCTCACGAAGAAGTATGAAAGATGCAATTTATCATAATTAGAAAATACAAACTGAGTGTAAACTTTGAATAACAAATAAGAACACACCATGTAATCTTTCTCGCCCTGTCATCTTATAAAATATCACTGAAGAGCTTTCAGTCACACTGTGCAAAAAGAGAATCAGTAATAGAACAATTTACATAATCATTGAACACATTGTATGATACATATATGTTCCGATGTGAAAAATAATACGTGTTATCTTACATATATGTAAATAATTACGCCACTTTTAGCGTGAAAAATTACTTTATGTGACAAAATGAAAGTCAACGTTTGGTTGTATGTATTCTTACTTAACTCAATCACCGTCTGTACTTAAATACATCGATGTCACAATAGCACTGGCTCAATTTTCGAAAAAATAACATAAGAAATTTAATACGCGAAATACATGAAGAATTGAAATTATTCAAAACGGAGTTAACAATAAGTATAGTTTCAGGGGTTTTTAAGAACGAAGTTTTTCTTTCCATATTCAACTTGTAAAAATCACTAAATTAATTATCGTTTACAACAGTTTGTTTTTTTTCTTTAGAACTCTCAAACAGACAAAGATCATAAAAATATTTGTGTGTCATCCTCAACAAGTACAGAGTTTCGATCAATAGAGAAAACCATGTGATGATTTTGAGTGGACAAAATCGACTTTTTTGTTTTCTGGGGATTTTATTGCATGAATTTTTACCACTCTGTCAAACTTTCTCCTTAATTCAAATTCACCTATCAGTATGTATCCATTTTTCTATTTATATTGTTCCCCAAATTATAGTAAAAAGTTCTGCTTGGAGAAGAGGGAAAAATGTGAAAAGTTGTTCAAAATGCTCTTCATTTTCTGCACGAGGTAAGATAGGTGTCTTTTAGGGGTGATTTTTGGAGAGAACAGCTCATGAAAGTGAGCAAAGGCAGAAGAAGAAAATTGATGGAAGAGAAAAATCTGTATATAAGAAAAGCTAACGGGAAAAGTATTTATATAATTTATCATGCGTTGAAGGGGTTACAAAAGTTAATGGGTTTTTCACACCCTTCAAAATATTTTCTCGTTGCGTAATTTCTCCCTTTTTGGTTACAAATATATACCAACGCGGAAGTGGAATATCTCTCTTCCTAGTGTTGGCGTCTTTCTCCCTGTGATGTACTCGGGGGTTTCGAGGGAAAATATCAAATACATTTTCTTTTATAATATATTTAACTATAATAAATTTTCCACGGGTGTAGATAGATTGGGTGCAAGAGTAGACGCTCACTTCCCTCCATAATACCTCTGGAAAATGATGAATAACCGCTTCTTGTTTCCTCCTTTATTTCACACGGAAAATTTTCTCATTCATACCCGACAACTTTAGCTGTCTTGGCAAGTATAGAAAATTTTTTTATTATTCAAAAATTCTTGCTGCCGAAATGGAATCATTTAGCTCAAAATTTCGTCCTTCATTTTCACCAGTTGTAGGGTGTTTTGCAAAGTTATTAACATTTTCTCTGATGCTTCTGGCGTGAGAAATGAACACACCATCGCAACTCACCACTTGCATATCGCGGGGTTGAAAATGTAATACTGTTACTACGCGTAAATTCACTCGTTAAATAAATAATTGAATGCTCTTAATTTTAATCTTCTTTCACATAAAATTCATAATTCGTTGGTTCGACGCACAATCGCGTCGGAAATGTTGCGTGAATTATTAACAAGATAAGAGTGAATTTTCCTAACATCCCCATCCCCACCAGCCCGTGTCAATGTCAGAAGGTAAAGCAGCGCTCAACTGTCAGAAATCATCCTCAAGACAATCGTGTGGTTTTTGGATATTTCATGAACACGGAAAAAGCGGTATTTCGACGATACGAGACGCGTGAGGTGAAATGAAACACTTTGTATGATTACGTGTGTTGCAATTGGTAGGTGTGATACTTAAAACTCCAACATATTATTTTACTCTATGTATAATTTCATAAACTCTTGGCCTTTGCTTCAGAGGCGTCAAAAAAAGCCATGAACGGATTGCGTGGAAATCAATCAGAATCCGTATAAGTCAGAAATTTTTAAGTGATTTTTTGAATGATATATGAAGCGGGAGACATTCTAAAAGGGACATTTATCTCTCATCAACTTTCATAAATATTTCAGTCTCTTTATAGAGGGAATTGACTTTTCCAGCTCTGTTGGCATTTCTCTTGAATATATAACAATTTTACCACTTCTCCATTATCCTTGTGTTTCACATGATTAGCAAGAATACAAATTACCTCAACCTTTAATCTGTCATTCATTCACCAATCGTATTCAAATTATATACCAAGGATTATTTAGTACCATGTTGACAACTATATGAAAAAAACACATACTGATAGTGAAAAAATTTGTGATATTTTTACTCTTCGTAGATTCGCAAAGTACATTGGCATTTTTGTCTTTTAAATAATTCCCTGAATACAATAATTCAAATGAAAGTCATTCACTCGCGTCATACTCACAACTTTTATCTCAATTCACTGTATTCTATTGAGTGCTTCCACTGATAATTCCTCCATTCGCGCTACTGTAAGGGAAATGTGAAGAGTATTTCCCTCAAATGGCGCATTAATTTAGACTTGGAAAATGGTATATTCTCGAATTCCAGTAAATTTAGTCGAAATGATGTGATTAGTCCATTTTATTGCTTTGAAAAACTCTCTTGGTCATTTTCCTTTTTCGTATAACATCGAGGAAAGCTTCAACTTCATACACCGAAGAAGTGGAGCTTTATCATCTTGCCTTTCCCCCACGAAACAACACTTGAAGTGCGGTCGATGAGTGTATATTACAGAGTGTGTATCAGTTGATGAGTAGAGCATTTATGTGTAGAAAGTGGAATGATAATTACAATTGAGATTGAAGTTCTGATGTTTTGGATCAACTATTCCTAATTTCCTTAGTAATATTCAAGTGGATGAATGGAAGAGTGACGAAATTTACCACCGTATTTCCTGGATGCTAAGAAATTTTGTTGGCATTTTGCAAATGGTGAACACAATTGGGGTGGAAAAGAAGGAATCCCCCTACACTTTGTGTGTTCCACTCAACATCCCCGAAAAAGTACACAAACACCCACAACACATTCACAATCTTTTGAGGGTGGTAAAGTGAAGCGAAAGCATAGTTACAAATAGAAGTCAATTTATCAGATTGAGGAAAATTTATACGTGACTTGCTGTTTAAAGTTTATTGCGGCTGTCATTTAACATGAGGAAGAGTTAAAGGAAAAAGAAGCATTACGTACATTGTTGGAATCCAATTTGATTTCCTATGCTTTAGTTGGGGAAACTTTAATTTTTGGACACGTACACACTTTGAAACGATTGCAGCAGTGGATATGAGTTTTGTCCACAATTCACATATTCCATCCTTCGCTGATAACATCTTTCCTCGAGTTTTATGTGTTTGATTGCATTTCGTACAAGTTGTAGACCATGTTTATCGTATGCACAACCATCAACACAGTCTTCAGGGTGGCATTTTTCAAATTACACTCTTTCGCGTGTGCATTGTAACTCAAGATTGTGACTCATTTGGTAAAGGTCGTGCGAAAAGGAATCTATTAAGAGCCCCAATTATTTCAACATCGCACCAACATTCGTGCTACAAATTGAGGAGTCAATAAATAATGTTTAGTGTCATTTAATGGTCCCTCTATATTCTTTTGCCATAACGAGGAAAAAAGAGATAAAACGACGCATCAAATTAATCAAATGACGAAATAGATTGAACAATCGTGAGCATTTAAATGCAGCAAACAATGCAGCCAATGTGGAAATTGTTGTCGCTCAACCAAAATTGGGTTGGCGGGCAAAGGGAAACCTCAAGAGGAGGGAATTAACCAGCAAATTTATGTGATCTCCTATTTACCTCATTCAATCTCTGAGGAGCATTTAAATAGCAGGCTCGCAACTGAAAACGGAGGGGGATACAAATAATAATTCATAGGTCGAGTTGGTGTTCGATTTGGAGATTTATTGTTCTCGTTGTCAACGAGATAATATGCAAATCATTTTCAGTTTGGTACCCCCATGAATTATGTCTAACGCACTACATTGGACACTTCACTCTCCTCCAGTTGTGGCGATGGTGGAATATTAATTTAAAGATTTTAGTGCTACACCGAATGTCACAAACTCTGTGCACAGTGACAGTTTATAAATGACGAGGAAAATAAATTGCAATTTAACACTCACTTTTCCATCGAAAGAGAGAAAATCTCGTATTTGGCCCATCATAAAAACAACCCTAAGCTATCAAAGTACTAAAGAAAGAAATTGCCATATTCACTCTCATGGGGATTTTTCAAATTACTACCACGAACGCATATGATACTTTATCGATTTTTTCCGCTAATAAAATATTGAAGTCAAGCCAACCTTTCAATCATCACCCTCGCGAAATAACCAGGCATGCAAACCCGTATTTATTAGGAGCATTAGAAATTATGTAGTGAATTTTTCGGCCAAAAAGTATCTTCAATGGTTTTTCAACGGAAAAGGCGAACAAGTTTGACTCCTTTCCAGTCTATTACAACGTTTCGGAGACTTTATTTTCTCCTTTCTCAGGTGTGTGAGTGTTTGGGGGTAAAAACTGGTCAATTTCTGCAATTCGTCACCTATTTCATCCACTGCCACAAATTGACAAAGAAATTAATTTTTGAACATTATCAGTAGAGAAATTTCTAACCTCAAATACAATTTAAAACCATGTAAAACGACACACTTATCTCATCCAACAAATATAATGCAAAATATATTCTCACTCTCAGTTTCAAGTATGAGAAAAAGGCATTGCGCGCCCAGTATTAGCATCAAGATGACACAAAATGAAATTAGAATTTTCCTTGGAAATTCGCCAGAATTTTACATTTAAATGAACCTCAGCCTCACTCTCATTTTAATATTACTTTTACACATCCGTACACTTTCCACTATCGCGCATTACTTCTCTGTGCTTTTCCTTCACCCCGCATTTCCGCTCTTCCGTCGCCCACCACCCAATGACTGCACTTGAAAAAAAAACTGAGCACAGATCAAAAAACACAAATGGAAAGACAGTGAAAATTTCGGTGAATTTTACAAACATTCACAAATACCATCCAACTGTAAACACACTCGGGTAAAAACAAGTGCAGTCGGAAAATGAGGGGAAAACCTCCATCGCAATTTACGAAAAAGGAAAGAAATGAACACTATCATTTGCAAGATGAAAGAATAAATTGCTAAAATTAAAAATTCCTCTGACAGTGTGCAAGCGAGGGCAGAAGCATTTCTCAGTAATTTTGCAATTTCATAATGAAAAATTGTTCTTCCCGCTAAAAATGCTCCGACCGCCTGAGCTTTTGTGTATCAACATCTCGTTCGTTTTTTTCATAATTGTAAATATTTCACCCTTTCTCAACTATTCAGCAAATTGCAAAACTCCACATTTCAGCTATAATTCCTCAAATAAAACTGATTTGTGTTCATCCTATCAAATGAAGCACTCAACTTTGCAGCCGAGGAGTCTCATTCTTTCATGTGAAGAGTTGTGATAAAAATAGACATGAATTTAATCACAAACAAACAACTAAAGCCAATTTATACAGAGTGCTATTCATCAAAAAAGTTGATGTGGACTTTCAACATGAAATATTCCTCTGAAAATTCAAAGTAATAGGAGAAAAAGCTCAAGAATTGTGTGAGAAAATACACTGTCATCTTCTATTTTCAATCGTCAGATCGTCTAATGGGAAAATTGTGGGTTATTGTTGCATAATATCGCGCACAATTTTTCGACACACGAACGCGTGTGTCTTCTTTCTGGCAAACAGAAAGACATCCCATCAGCTGAGTGGAACATTTATTTATCAAAATATACTAGAAAAATTTGCACAAAGATTTACATAACTGTTCATCAGCCATTTTACCGACAAATTTATTTATTTTCTATACAATTAAATAATATTTAGAGAAATACTATCACCAGAAATTTACATTAATTTCGCATACGGCTGAGCATTGAGAAAGAATGTTGAACTTGATTGATATAAATACATTTATTTAATATTATATTTTAATTTAATGTCGAAATGAGAAGTGTTATGAATAAAATCCTATAGTTTTAAATTATTCATAAATCCACACATTACAATTGAATTTACGAGATACTTATTAAATGTTGTTCTCTGTGCAAAAGTCATATCCTGTCTGTGGATGTAAATCCTATTTCAGTAAAAAGTCATGTAATCTGCCAGAAAGGTAATTCAGCCATAAGAATGTGCATGTTGCCAGAGAAACAAAGCAGATTAAAAAGTAATCGCATTTTGGTGGTTGAGCCCAAGGGAAGATTATCATATTCAGCCTACGACGAGAAATGACAATTATCAACTGTCGCAAAAAAGGCTTTTCCTCCCGAAAAGAATGCAGAGATAGCTATTGACAGCATCTGCCATGGCTATATTGGCATGGTGATGAACCCCTGACTTGAGACAACCATCGAGTGTGACAGAGAGAACAATTCCCTATAGTGAACATCCATGTATGGTTCAGTGAATCTGACACTGTGAGTGTGTGCGTTTTCACGTATTCTTTGTTCGCCACCACGATCTAATATTGATGTTGCGTTGCGCGCAAGCGTCAGAATGGCGCACACATGCACACTATGTGCTCTGCCACGTTCGTGCCCCCTGACCTCCTCCCTCAAGAGATTCCCTCCCATAAAACGTGCCGCTCAGCGCGTTTTCCACTGTCACGGCCAAGGACATTTTGTGTTTCTTTGCTCTGCGCCAATGTGTATGTTCAACTCACACATCTCAGCGCCCAATTCTCAAATTCCTCTTTCTTTCTCTCTCACTTCTTCCTGTCATG